GGGACTAAAAACTGAGGGGGGGGGGGCTGATCCATGTAGGGAGTGGTCGGGGGACCCGCAAGAAAGCCTCTTTGTATTTGAACCCACAATTCCAGCCGCCAGGTTGCCATTCGACCCGGCGGAGTGGGAATGGCCTGGTTCGAAACCCATGCATGTATGGGACTACACGGTCAAAAAGGGGCTACAGGGCCTCCAAGGACCACCCGAACAATAGACCAAACACTATCCACAACATGGGCGCGAGACTCACCCTTGGAGCCACAAATGATAGACAATCTACCCTGGGCTGAGTATGCTAAGATCATGCCCATGAACTGGCAAATCCTCCGTCTCTGACTGCCCAACCCCGATTGGTTGGTATCCCGAACAGACCTGGAGCAAAAAGGGTTGTTGTCACCTATCTGCGCCTCCTGCGGCAGGTCGTCACCTCCAGCCAGGGCAACACTGGAGCATTGCCTATTGGCTTGCCCAATGGTCACCCAATTATGGCAGTGGTGGGACGTGGCCTTCCACTCCCTCACAGGGGTGCACATCGCATGGGATCCTACTGCTAGGCAAAAAACAGCTCTTGCAGATACACTGGGCCCCTATGCAACCAACCTCTTCCCACACATGAGACTGCAGGTCATCGTGCTGGCCTGAAGAGCCAGATGTTCCTTTGAAAGAAGGGACCACCAGTTTGGACGGCAGCAAGCCCAACAGGTAATTGAGGAGGAAATCAGATCCCACACACAAGTAGCCTAGAAAGCCTTCATATGGGACCATCAGGTGGAGAAAGATCCCACTGTGAAGGAAACCCTCAGGAAGCTTATCGCCTACTTTGGCAGGATCCACGCCAAATTGTCTTCGAACTCGATAGCGGGCGTAACATTCAGTGGAAGCATTGGAGGAATACAAAACCATCATGGCAAAGGAGACCCGCCCACTGCTTCCAGGTTCCCTACTTGCAACCTAACTTTGTGCTTATAACATAACTACAGTCACCCTCTCCCTAATCAAAGCGTGATCACTCCCATCACTGCTTCACTCCCGTCCCGTCCTGCTTCCCCCATTCTCCCCCCTCCCCCTTCCCCCCCTTTCTCCCTGCCTCTCCCTCCTCTCCCCTTTCTCCCTCCTCTCCCTCCACAGAATGCACCTTACAAGTAAGGGTCTCGTTATACACTCCTAAAAGTGCCTGTTTTTAGGATTGCATCTTGGTTGCACGCAATCGTAAATCCAATTTTGAGATCGAAAATGTTAAAACGGTGTTAGGACAAGTCCTAAAGGATTTAGGATTCCTCAGGCAAAATCGTCCTAAATTTTCCAGTAGCCCCCGACCTACTTAAAAATTTAGGATTCACGCGTTTCAAGGACTCGTATCGCGCACATGGCACTGTGGACACGGAGTTGCTAGTGCAGAAGCGGTCCGTCAGGTCAATGGTCGGACATCGGAGGTTTTCTATGGGTCGACGCGGGCAACGGCCATGAACGGTAGCTGTTGGCGAGGATTGGACGAACATTGGCAGGAATGGATGGACATTGGCGACGCGGCTGCGTATACACATATGAAAAACGGTCGTGGGAGACCTTTTAGGACGAATCCTAAAAGACGATTTTTAGGATTGTGTGTAACGACGCCGCACGAAATCCTAAAAATCCTTTAGGACGAGTCCTAAAAATTTTAGGATTCTTTTAGGAGTGTCTAACGAGACCCTAAGGCGATCACATTCTGAATGTTACTGTTTTTTTATTTTTCCTTGGTTGTGTGTTTCTTACGAGTCCCCTGCCAACGAGGCAGGGCGGAATCTATGAATCCCCGGGCGGCGGGTAGGCGCGGCCGCGAAGCCCGCGGACGTGTCCGCGCGGATTCGCGGACACGTGGCGGCCGCAGGGAAGGGGGTTTGAAGATTCTGGCGGCGCCACGTGGCGGCGCATCCCCTGTCCCACCCCCCCGCCCAAAAAAAAAACGAAAAAGATCAACTTTTTGTGGGGGGGGTATGGGCGAAATCCAACGAAAATGGAAAAAAAAAAAC